GATCTCACGAGTTCTAGAAGTGTTAGGGTACTTACTAGGTTCTGGTCGAGTGGTTTTAGGGGGTTATGTAGTCTTGTTCTTAAAGTGGGAATCAATCTCTACGGCTTTCCCTTTATCCACCGGTTTAGAGCTACTGGCGGTCCAAGGTGGGGGAGCTCGGCTACAATTAGTCAAGCTGGTCTTGCGCTTGATCTGCTGTTCTATTTGCACCGAGAGATACAAGAGCTCGTGCATACCGCTGTATTGAGTTCTCTCGACCTTCCGAGTAATATGCTCTTGTAAACCGTCTATGAACTGCACCATTAGGGCCTCCTCGGACTCCTCTAACTCCAACAGGTTCATGAGCTTCTCAAACTTCTCGAAGTATTCATCCACGGTCCTAGTTCCCTGCATCAACTTTCTAAACCGTTTTTGTAAGTCTCTATGGTATGAATCAGGAACATACCTTGACCTTAGCAAGAACTTCATGTCTCGCCACATGGTGACGGCAGAAAAACGGTTACGCCTTTGCTCAGCTACGTTCATATCCCACCAGGCCAGGGCATTGTCGGTTAGTTGAGCGGCTGCCACCTTCTTACGATCTCCATAGCCGTAGCAGTCGAAGATGTATTCAAGCCTCCTCCCCCAATCTAGATAGACATCTGGACTTGACTTACCGGTGAATGTTGGGGGTGTTAGCTTAACCTCCATGTTGCCTTCTCGGGGATCCTCCTCTCGCCCTTGTGGCCTCCTCAACGGGTCTTGTGCTTGTTGGTATTGTTCTTGCAATGGGTCCGGGGGTGCGTCATCTTCTAGCTCCGACATGTCCTCATCGGGCTCTCGTAGGTTCCTTATGGGACCTCTCGGGGCTGGTGATGGTACAGGGGGCACGGGTGGAGCGGGTGGCACGGGTGGTGCGGGTGGTACGGGATGTTGAGGTGGTAGAGGCCGTTGCTCCAAGTGAACAAGCCTTGTACCAAAATCATCCCTCATTGCCCTCATCTCCTCTCGGAAGGCTGTTAACATTTGTAGCACGGCGTCTTGGGGAACTTCTTCTCCCATGGTGTTCCTGAATCTCAACAAAAACAACACTAGATCAAAGCACCACAGCGGCTAGAAAGTGTTAAAACAAACACGTTCCTAAGCAAGTATAACCAAAGAGAAAGATTACTTGGCTAACACCTATCAAGCGACAATTAAACAAACAAAAACTCTTTTGGGATTTTCTTATTATAACAATAAAATATAAAGAGTAACAAACGCAAAACGATTTTCTTTTGGGATATTTGGGGTTAAGAAATAAGAAACAATAAGCCTAAGAAAATAGTCGATCAATGAATCTAAAGGAAACCAATATAGATCCGAGATATGACTATCTAACCAAGCAAGCAAGACGGAAGCAAATTTTTATGGGTTTTTCTTAAGGTAAAACAACTAAACGAAAAGAAACAAGGAGCAAACGGTATTGAGAGAGATAGATATCACCTGATATAGAACCGTTCGGCTCTAATACCAAATAGTATAAGACTCGGATGACCGGATCATATGGAATGGGAATGAACGTGCTGGCATCGTACCAGCTCGTCATGCCCTCGTCCGTCCTAGTAATGTCCTCGACCGTGGTACGTGTGTTCATGATTCGTTCCACGGCTATGTTAAACTTATCTCTCAAGACTTTCTCTTTTGAGCGTGTCATTGGTCCTTCTCTCACCGTGGGTACGTCCGGCTGGTCCTCGGCTGATACGGTGCTTGCACCACATTTTACATCTCTATCTTTGTACATTTTTCAGTGGTTTCTGTATTTACACGGTAAATGAATTAGGGTTTCGTTTGTTATATTATAAATTTTCTTAAAACTTATATTGATAAAGTCCGATGATAAAGACCAACATAAACTGATTAAATAAAAATGAGCTTAGAAACAGAAGATATTAATTATTTAAATGATGAAAATATAATGAATTGTAGATAATGAAAAAATAATTTAGTTCTTGCAAAAATAAAATTAAATATAATAAAGCAATATTTTTGCTATTGAAGTAGTCTTGTTGGTGCTACTCATCATCTGTGTTATTAGAATTTCCTGACACTGTGGCTTCCATGTTGTCATCTTCAGAATCAGTCGCCAATGGATGATTCTCCACATCGTACATATATTGTAAGACTTTGGTCCTCATATTCTCAACTTCATGCAACTTAGGATTTATTAGGATTTCAGAGCATTTGAAAGCTGAAGAGACGATCCACTCATCTGTGAAAAAACAGAGTACAGTTTATTTGTAAGAAAGTATATTTGTTTGTCAAATATAGAAAAAGATATATATTTTGCATCGAAAATATTGCCTTTTGTATACATAATTTTTCCAAACCTTATTATGCAAATGTTTATGTCATCAGATTTGACATTTTTCCATTTCTCGTAGAAATCTAGAGCATACTCATTTGATAAAATACATCGAAGACGGCAACTCCTGAAATAAAGAATTAAAATTAAAATAGTAATTTTGAATAAAAGCTGAATAAATAATAACATATGTTTTATAAAGAAATTGACCATACGTTCCATCACTCATTTCAAATTCGATTTCCTCGGACATATTGTTGAATTTTGGAAGTTGATGTTGGTCAAATCTTTGACATGGAGAACATGACCAATTAAATCTGCAAAGAAATAAAATGATTATATTAATAATCGTTAAAAAAGAAAAATAATCAAGATATGAATAAAAATATACTTACCAACACAGATGTTCAAATCGATCTTCCCAGTTTTAATTCTTTCAAACTTAGCAAAATCAAAGTAGTATTCCGAACCATGGAATGGAACACATCTAAAATAGGTCGATGAGTGCCATACGATCTTAAATCGACTGTTCGTTAGCTTGAAAGAATCAGACACCCAACTGAGTTGGAAATTTGATAAAATCATCCATGTGCCTTCGATTAATTTTCGATGATATGGACGATCAATAAATTCTTTTGCCATAGTATATTGGATTTTATCTCCCTGAAAAAAAATTGTATTGATATATTAGTTATCATTAATAATATTAAGTACAAACAGTAAAAATTTTGCTTAAAAAAGTAGATATAAAACAAAGTAAATATATTCAATGAAAACAGTTAAGATTGTACCTTATAATCTGCAAATATGAGCTGAAAAGTTTAAATCCCATCAGTAAAATGAGGAAACTTTCGGAGTAATTTCACTCTCTCTCCATTCATGGATGAAAGAATTTAACATTGAGAAAGTAAATAGGTCCTTCATAATAAAAAATGAGTATAAAGAATGTTTAGCTAGATAATAAAAGGGCGTTATGTGAAGGAAATTATATTAGTTCGTGTATTTATATTGCTTTGGTTGTGTATTTATGTATTTCGTTTACTTATATTGATTACATCGACATTAAATTAATAGTCTAATTGTAAGAATGAATCATATAACATATCAATTGTAAAGAAAGACCAATTAATACTATACCAAAAGCAATCAATCCTCAATATTTAGGAATAATTTTATTGGGGATATGTTTTTGAATTCGTCAAGCCCAAATCCTATTTAAGAATTATGCATCTAACTTAATTGATTTGTATACATATAAAATGTTAATCTTTTTTATTCGGTGCTTGACGATTGATAATATATTATTTCTTCAAACTATGGAAACTGTGGTAATTCAATTAAGTTTTCTTGCTTGACGATTGATAATATATTATTTCTTCTAATTATGGAAAGTGTGATAATTCAATTAAGTTTATTTTGTAAATTATGTTATTCGAATATTACTCACAAGCATATGCATAGATATAAGGTGATTGACAATATAATTAAAAATATCGAGGTCTTACAAATAGATATGTTTTCCGAATATTAATCTGCTTATTCTCGAATGTATATATTACTGCTTCAAAGTTAATGTACGTAATATAGGAATCCCATATATTATTCTGGACATCAGAGCTAGTTTGAAGAGAAACATAATCTTTTGCGGGCTAATAAAGTAGAGATAACCTCAATTTCTCAGAAATACATATTTCAATTTAAGCAATGTCGAAATGTGTATGATTTGTATTCTAACATTTTATGTTTTCTATTTAAAAGGATTTTTGCGGCCACTAAAACAACTGTTGTGTGAACATGGCAATCTTACCGTTTCATCTTCCTGAAGAACAATCTGTTGTGTTTGGTGAAGACGATGAAAGCAATAACACACACCAATCTAAATTTTTGGCATGGATGGATTGTAATGGGATGTATCCACATGCAATAAATTTTCTTTATACGGAGTTTCCATTTCATTTTGTATGGCACGCAAAAGACAAAAAATGGGTCCGACGTCGTATGCATGTTCCAAGGGAACACCGTTTACCATACGTTCCCTTACATAGGGAGGAGCTTTACTATTTGAGGGTTTTGTTGCATGTTGTTAGAGGTCCACTGTCTTTCGAGGATATTAGGACAGTAGACGGTGTAGTTTATGCTACATTTAAAGAAGCATGTATTGCTTTTGGGTTTGTTATGTTCAACTAAATTTTTTATATTTGCAATTTAATTGTTTTCCAATACTCGAATGATTTCTCAGTATTCACGATTGTTGAGTTCGGCAGTTTAACCATCACAGATCTGCAGTTCAATGGGTTAAAGCCGCGGGTTAACAATTTTATATAAAAAACAGAGACTCGTGATTTCAACCAGTCTACGATTAATATAACTGTAATTAACAATTGTATATTTTATCAGTTTAGTAAACCAAATGTTACAAAACCAAAGGAAACCAAAAGAACTTAAATCGTTGGAATCAGCACGAACCATATAACATGTTTATATGAAAAACAGAGCCTCGTGATTTCAACCAGTTTACGATTATTTTGATAATTTAGTAACCATTGTATATTTTAGCAGATATATAAACCAAAAGTTACAAAACGAACTAAACCAAAAGTTGCAAAACCAAAGCAAACCAAAAGAACTTAAATCGTTGGAATTAGCGTAAACCAAAAGAACTTGTTTACTGACCATATAAATCAACATCCCAAACTTGTTTACTCATAAAATATTGCCAGACTTTTTAGTTGATCCTACTTTTAAACAAGAATGTCATCCTGCAGCAGTTTATTTGATGAAATATAATTTCACGACAATGAATTTAATTGTTTTCCATTTGTCGAATGTTTTGGCAGACTTGTTTACGGACCATATAATAACTAACCATCTTCTTGGTGACATAATTCTGATCTTTAACACAGAGATCCATCGATGCGTATACGGTACCAACCATGGTGGCAATGAAACCTATGGTCAAAGGGAACCTCTGGAGAAGTAGATAAGTATTTGATATAAGGCACGACACATTTGATAAACAATGTAGTGCACTACCTCCATCGATGACATGGATGCGAGCTGATTTTGTGGGCTAGGAAGTGCGAAGAATGATCCGATGATAAATCCACATCCAAGGGTGAAACAATTGGCGAATTTCTGTGGCATAAGCACCATAACCAGAAGAAACATGGTGAAGGCGATGAAGATGAAGAAAACACCACTTGCGAGAAATGAACCGGAATACATCAGCGCTTTCCCTGAAGGCATACTGCTGGTTGCTGACTGCATGTTCCCCGAAATATCTCCAACTGCCTTTGAAACCCTGCCATCGTCATATTCTGGTACACGTTGCAAAATCAGACAAAGGAACAACAATTTCAAAAGCGAAAATAAAAGATAAATATTATAGAACAATTTAAAAAAAAAAGCTGCTTATCCGAGGCTAAACACAAATCCTTCACAAAGTATAACATGTAGCATAACAGAAGTTTAAAGGTCCATCAGAGTCCATAATGAAACAATTATTCCATTACTCCAATGGTTTCCCAGACTTGTTTACGCACAAGTCAAGTTGTTCATTTGTCTTATTAACTCGTACGATAGTTGTTGATTTGTCCTATTAACTCGTAATAAAGTTAATAACCTGCTTTCAAATACAGCCTATTAAAGTCGTTGTTTCAAGGAAATAAGTCATGACTCCACGAGTCATGACTTATCAATTCATCTTTGTATAGTCTATTAATAACTAAGAAGTCTAAACAAACACTACACAATCTACGGCTACCAAAGTTGATATAGTTCTAACGGAGAAGTGTAAACCACATTTAATAACGTCGCTTACCAAGTGCCAGAGATCAAGAATTTTTAAGAAGGGTAACTTATTAAGTAATAAAGAATCAAAAGAGAATATGGATTAAAATCCTTAAATATTCAAAAGAGAAGAGGAAGTAAAACATGCAAAAACTCCAATTAAAAAACAAACTATTTTTCTTTATTCATCTTCTTGTTGACAGAATTCTGATCTTTAACTGGATTATCTTGATTGTTTATTCTCTTAGACAAAGGTGTTAATGATGAACCCTCTGAAATTTCCTCAGAATTTGTAAGCATGAGTGGTTCCTAGATTATAATGATATAAAAAATATCTTGGTCAGAATAGTTTTTTTTGTTAGTAAAATAATTATAATCTAAATCCAAGTAATTAAGACATGTACCTCTGTGAAAGATTGAGTCTCGAAAAGCTTAATTTCTTCCTCATCATCCCAAAATAGCTCAACAGTATATGGAGAATTATTAACCTTTTTGGCTCTGTCTTCCATGGTGGTTTTGAATAGAAACTTCTTTCTAACAATGATTTTAAGTTCAGAAGGTAGAAATTCTGGATCTTCCTACAAAACAGTAAATTATATTATGAGTAAAATATGAAGATATTACTCAAAAATAAATAAATATTATTCTGATTGTTTTCTGCACTTATATTTGGAAAAATATACCTCAGAATATTTTTCGAAAAGGTCAGTAGCAGAAGTTTGAATCAATTTTGCTGCAAGTTTATCAAATAACAGAAATCTGGTTTCTGAATATAAATCGTCTGATACACGTAAAATCAGATAATACCTGAAAAAAAAAAATTTAACTTCAAGTTGAATGGTTTATCGAAATAAATAATTTAAAATAAATTTCATACTTGGGAAACACATCTTCAATATCACCACATGTCTTGCAATTGAAAAGGGGCTTCCTATCCACATCATCAGAATCTTCACCATATTGTTGAACCTTCAAACCACAGGTTTTGCAAGCTAAGTAATACCACTGTTTTGGATTATCAATAGCTTAAACCCTGGCAGAAGTCACGACTTTACCGGCCTGTTTATAATGTTACATTTGTTAGACTAATTCCTAAACATAGTTTCAGGCTAATTCAAATCTTGATTGATATTTATAGAAAAATGAACATACCTCATTAGATTGAAGAATTCCGTAAAGAGATTTTCGTTTGTTCTTCGAAAAAAACTCTCCATGCATATCAATTGAAGAACCAAATGATAATTGGCTGCTATCAATATGTGTGATCATTTGATTTAATGCTGGCAACCTGTGAAAGAAAATAATTCAATTGAATCATGTAATATATATTCACGATAGCTTTTATATATAAATGATTAAAAATTAAATACTTTGATTTGAAATTCTCAACATATGTGGTTGTTGGATCGAAGAGTAGTTGTGTTGCTTTAAAAGAATTTTGCACAAATACATTTCCTACATAGTAAGAAATTTCAGATAAAATAGTTAGCACTTTATAAAAGTATTTTTTTAATTTTTTAAAACTAATAAAAAATATTAATATTAATATTAAATTAATATGAACAGAAATATACCTTTGTATGTCTTGATGATAACAAACCTATGAACACATATTATTGGTGATCCATTGTGTTGTTCAGTATAATCATACACTTTGTTTGCGTAATCCCCCCACAAAGTACATATCAAACGCAAATCACTTGAAGTAGATTTTTTGATGATTTTCAAATTGATAAGTATTTTAGTGGAGCATATATGAAACAAAATAATAAAATTTACACTTACTTGGCATCTCTAAGGATGAGTTCCAATTTTGTATTTGACACATTCTTTCCTCTCATTTGAACATTTTCTTTTGAACCCACGTTCAATACTTGGCCAATGACATCTAAATTGAAAAATAGAAGTAAAAATTAATAATAATAAAGAAAAGATATAAAAGAAATAGTGTTTTAAATTACCAATCAAAATGTCTTTGTTAAGCTTTCCATCCAAAACTTCAGAGAAATCAGCAAAATATTGTTCTGGCAATTCTGGCGGAAACCCTACAGCTGGTTTGGTTTTACTTGTCCGAAGAAATATCAACTTCACTGGCAAGGGAGAGGTTCTGTACTCTCCAGAGTATTCTTTCAGCATAAAAGCATTGATGCTAATATATGCACTTTCTTTCAGTAAATTTCGATGATTGTCTATCAAATCTTCTTCTATAGTTGCAAGAATCCTACTTCCCTGAAAAGATTGCAAATAATTACAGTTTCAGACATCAAACTTTTTAGAATGAAAATTAAAACTTAATAACGGAAAATAGAAATAAAACATACATCTTCATCAACAAGAACCATTTCAATCGATTTACCAACACCAGTTATAAAAGAATTCCACAGAACTTGGATATGTGCTTTTATCTTTTGGACTTCAGATGCTGGATCACGATTGTTTAACATGAGAAAGGAGGATTGTTTACTTTTAACAATAGACATTTTGTTTTTGGATGATGGTAATGAAAGAGTTCGGAATTTTTTAGTCATGTATGATATATACATATATAGTGATTGAACATTTTATTAATGAGGTGATATATTACTTTCCCAAAAATGAGAGTAAGGTATATATTGAAATGGTGAGATATGATTCTAATTGTTATAAATGAGGAGATATATTAGATTATTACATTTATTTTGGTTACCATCAATATTTATAAGAATACAGTTGTGTTTATAAAATATTTCGTTATAAATGAGGAGATATAATTTGTGTTTATAGTTGATATAAATGAGGAGATATATTTTGTGTTTCTAGAATATTTCGTTTTCTATATTTATAAGAATATAGTATACATAAATAGTTATTATTTAGTGATAGATAATTACAGCAGAATATTTCGTTTATACAAGATTAATTTTATTTCCATAAGTTAATATTTCCTTTTCTATATGAAGAACAGTTAAGTCAATTACGAATTCAGTCAATAGAATAAGAACAAATTAGTCAATAGAACTTAAATTATTTAATTTGGTTAGGAGATTGTTTGCATGAGCTATAAAATATAATATAACAGATTAATATTTTCTATATCTTACTTGCAAATATAGGGAAGCCGCTGCATACATCCGTTTACTTTTCGGCCGATAGACTCCTTTGTTTGTCATGGAAAGCTTCTGCATATGTTTAAAACTTTTGTCTTCTCGCCTGTAAACACAAAAAATGCAAAAGGACATGGAAGCTACATGAATACAGGGAACAGAACACAACTTAATAAGATACAATGAATCAATTAACCTCACGATTGAAACAATACGGCAAAGGTTGACGAACAGAATACCAAACTCATAAGCTTGAATGCCAAACTCATAAATTCTTAGTACTGAAGCAGTACTAAGAAGCAGAACAGTGTAAATGGCCAAAGAGTAAACATAATTAATTTCATGAAACTTGTTTTAATCCCAAAACTGTGAAGCTGTGTAAGTAACGCTTCAGTCTTATCAAGTTATGGAACTACTTAAGAACACTAAAAAGATAGAGAGATTATAACAGAGACACTAAACGCTGGGGCAAAGAGATCAATTAAACTTTGCAAAGTGATTTAAGATCATAAGACAGTTTCTGATTACCTTTGAGACTTGAGCGTTTAGTGTCTTGGTTATTTACAGCAATTGTATCACGAAGGTCACCCAGATTACAGTGAGAAGCATAATGGTGGAGCCAGCGAGCAAACCAATTGTATCACGATGGTAAGTGCAATGGAGTAGACGATTCTCTTTCCACATCTTTGTCATTATCATCATTATCATCATCGCATCTGGTGAACTCGAAGCTCCCTCGTTCATGATCAATCCTCGAAGCCTGAAGGTGAGAAAACCTGTCGCTGGCTGTTCTTCTATCAGTCAATTTATGACGCAGAGATCTCAGTCTAGAGCTATTTTCCTCTCCACCTACATTTGCTCTCTTCCCTGCCGTTTTACAAACAATTCATCAACATTCACAAGAAAATCGAGAGAAATGATACTGAGATTAAGATTCTAAAGCGTCGTCACATACAGTGATAAATACATTGCCTGCGATGAGCATCAATCTTCCACTGTTTCAGTTTCCAAAACCAATTCGCCTGCAACCAAGATTCAAATGTATATGTATGAAGAAAGGATGGATACAACTTCGCAAGCCATGGTTAAAAAGCACGAACAACGACGAAATCTCCCTAAACATTTATCCACAATCACAACGAAAACACGATTCCTGAATCAATTATACTCTACTGAGAATTCACAAACAGAATCTGGGAATTTGGGACACTCGCGGATCTATTATTATCTGAGATTAGAGACGCACACAAACGCCATAACCACGCGTGTTGATTATATACTTTTTCTTTGAAATCGGAGACCCATGAAATAGTTCAGAGCCGGTATATCCTATATATTCTTTTGGGAATGAACAATTCCGATGAAGAGCTTATTGTCGGGGCGGAGAACTATTTCGATGAGAATTTTTTGTTAATTCTGAATGATGTGACAAAATTTCCTTTTGTAAAACAAAAAAACGCCAAGTCACATTTCTAGGCTGGTATTCATTTGCAGTAAGTTTGATTGTGGAAGCGACACATGAGCGACACATGAGATTTTTATAGTAGAAGTGCTTGTCTTTTAGTATATAGAATAATATACAGAAATATATAAAAATAATTGATATTGCAGCATATATCACCGATCACCAAGTAATATTCTGCAATCCTTAACTGTGTGCATGAGCCATATTCCCTCATTTAAACTAATTTGAAATTTGTTATAAGTATTTTATAATGGAAATAAAAGTGACACGTGTACATAAAAATGTGATACGTAATCCCCTATATAATTATATGGGGCATATGCTGTCTCTTTATTGCAAACAGTTTGAAAGCAACCGACCTTCTAACATAATCTGATATCTGTTCGTTTCTGAATATTTCATATAGAACATAAATGGTTAAAAATTTGTCAAAATAAAACAATTTGTATTACATATGTGATCTAATCTCATAAAAATTTACATAAATTGAGCTAATTACCAAAAAGATAATAAGAGATATACATACAAATCACTAGAAAAAATATCAAATATATTAATGTTCAAAATAAAAAATAAAAATATTAAATATATTATTATAAAATTATTAATTCATGATGTCAAATTGTTCAGAAACACATTGTGATTTGTTTATAAGAATATGTGTTCGTTTGGATAGTGGAGTTGGATTTCTAAATTTCGATTTTTGGGAGATGAGCGGTATGTGGTTCCGGGGTGAAAGTCTGATTGTGTCATATACTGGCTAAAAAAAAATAAGTCGTGCATCCGGAAGAACTAGAAGAGGGTTTCTCTCTCGAAGGTTCTGTTACGCTCAAATTAGTTAATACTCCACTGAAAACAAATACTCGAAAGAGAAGATGAATGATTATGGTATTATGGTTTGAGTATCCCGTCCAAGGATTGTAATACCCGTCAATTGTTTGGTGAGGGTGGACGTATGATAGATGGACTATTAAGAAACTGAAGTTGGAACTCTCTTTTGATGGGGTTAAAGTATAGGGTTAAAGAGGAAGCGAAAGCTTATTTTAGTAGGCATTTCTTCCGAGGAAAGTTAAGCACATCATTTTCAGTCATGCTACAAGGCCGGGGCAGTGTGGCGTGCTCTAGGGAGTTTTGATGATTCTCTCCTCCTTTCTCCATATTGGCGTCTCTCTCTTAGTATCAACTACATTCGGCACTCGCCATCCCCCCCTTTTGGTTGGCTTTCGCTATCTCTTTATACTCCTTTCGTCCTAATCCGTCCCATTGGTGCGATGCATGGCGGGAACAGGTATGCTATCGCAGCACACCTTCAACTTGGGAAGCTCGCCAATTGCTCGCTAAAAAGTTGGCTAAGGAGCCGTTGGGAAGGCCTAAACAGGAAAGTTATTATTACAGCAAGGTGTAGAAAACCACTCTCTCCTTGGACTCATATGGTAGGACGCTCCAGTGTCTAAAACCCATACATCGGAAGGGTGTGTTTGTTCATCAGCAACCAGAGCAATGTCCTCTTCTGACTTGCTGTCATCCTCACATACAGTTGCAACAGCAGTAGAAGCTGATGGCTTCCTCTTCTTAGGACGGTCTGTTTTCCAGTGCTCTTTCTCCTTGCAGTAATTGCAGATATCATCTCGCTTAGGACCCTTTGAGAATGACTTCTTCTCGTTCTTCTTCTTGTTATTTCCATGACCTTTGCCACCACTAGCAAACAGTCCAGAAGCCTGATTATCTGCGCCTGCACCTGACGCCTTATGTCGCAACTCCCTGCTGTGAAGGGACGACCTTACTTCTTCCAAAGATACAATATCCTTACCGTTTATAAACGATTGAACATAGTTCTCGTACGATAGTGGTAGGGATACCAACAATAGCAAGACGGTGTCTTCATCCTCCACCTTAACATCGATATTACGTAATTCTAGTAAAAACGAGTTCAGCTGATCTAAGTGATCTTTGAGCTGCGTGGCTTCCTGCATTCTTAGCGCGAACAAAGGTTGTTTCAGAAGCAGCTTGTTCGTCAAAGACTTTGTCATGTACAAAAACTCCAACTTCCCCCACAGACCAGCAGCAGTCTTTTCACTTGAGACTTCGATGATGATTTCATCAACAAGGTACAACAGGATTGTTGCATGTGCTTTCTCTGATGAAGACATCCAAGAAGAACCTGACTTAACCGAACCACAAGTGCTTGAAGTTCCCACCGGAGCCATTACAAGGGAAAGAGCAAGGGTCTTGCAGCACAAGTATAATCAAGCCATCATGTTAGCTGCACGTCAAACCGATGATCAAGAACCTCATGACATGGATCAAGCTGCCAAAAGTCCATCCGGAGTTAAGGAAATCCAAGAAGCTTGGCCCCTTTTCTCTAAACACAACAACGACTACAATCTCCTTGTCATCTCAAGCAAGGCCCAAGACCCATAAAGCCACGACCAAAGGGGATTAAAGAGATGAATCATTGAAACTTAAACCATACAAACAAACAAGGTAAGTGTTTATGATTATTTTCATTACATTTTGACTAATGATTCTCAATCTCTTTTGCAGCCTAGATTTAGTTGTTATTTCTATTACATTTATGTTGATTTTCGTTTAAAATAAGTAAGGCAAATGTTAGCCTGATTTCTTGCTTTTATTTTAATGTAATTTGTTTCCAAAGACCCCAAGAAGGGCATAGCTGTTTGGACTAGTTTATAAAGTCCCCTCTCACAGCAGTGTATCTTTAAATTTGGATCAATAAAAATACCGAATTTTCTTAAGAACTTTTCTTGAGTTTTGCTCTTTATTTTGTGAGACCAGTACCTCTAATTATTAAGAGTTATCGTGTTGTATCAAGGGAATTGACATAACCCTTGTGGTACACTTCATTTCACCCCCGGTTCTAGTTTATTCGTCCTCTTCGCCCACCGGCCCTACGGTTTGAGTATCTCGACCATTAGGCCAATCATCATCCGACCTACACGTACCGCGAGATCATCACTCCTCAATCACATCCCACGGATTATAAGCCTGAGTATCTCGGCTGGTGACAACCTCATCCATCCCACACTCGTACCGAAGGCCTACTAGCTCACTTCCACACTCGAGCTTGTATCATTTTTGGTATCAGAGCTGAAGTTCCTTCAGCCCCAGGTTGCATCTATCCTTTTTATCTCTTTCATTACATTTCATATTAGTGTTTTCATTTCATTTCGTTAAAAAAAAAAAAAAACATACATCACATTCTATCCTTGTTTCGTCTCATAGCCATATTGCTTTCATCATCTAGTTTGCATTTCGATAAAAAAAAAAAATACATATCTATCCCCATTCTTGGTTTATCATTGCTAGCTCATTATCATTCATCATTTAATCGAATTCTATCAAGTTTCAATCAAAAAGTCAAAAAAAAAATTATTGGTTTAAGTCATTCATTTGCATTCATCACGGTTTCCATTTTTAGAACATTGTCAACAATCACCATTTGTCTAATTGATTCGGGTATTGCCTTACCTTAATATCATCTTGGACCGTATTGTATTCATTCAAAGGTCTTAATCACATTTATTCTTTGGTTTAAGGGACTTGAAATCAAAACGACATGGGAGAAGAAGCTAGCAATGCAAATGATCCGGTCAGTCAAATGATGGCCATGATGAGGGAAGAGTTTCAAGCCTTTAGGCAAGAAGTGGGAGAACGTCTCACTCGTGTAGAACAGACCCCTCGCGCTCCCTTGCGGCCTGTGAGAAACGTTGGAGGATTTGGCACTACCAACCCCCATGGCAATCCTCAACGACACAACGGCATTCACATCAACGAGCCCACGAATGGAGGACAGCTACGTGACGATGACTCTCAAGAGGATGACGAGGATCCACCCCCAACAACAAACCGTGTACGGAGAAGACGAGTACAAAGGGAGGAGCATGAAGAAGACGAGCCATACGACCCTCACCCGAGACAAAACCAAGGGAACATCAAACTAACCGCGCCTAACTTTGCCGGTAAAGTTGATCCCGAGGCTTATCTCGAATGGGAGAAGAGAATGGACCATATATTTGACTACTACAATCATCCCGGCCCTAAGAGGATAACACTAGCCGTAGCTCAGCTCACGGACAACGCCCTCATTTGGTGGGACAGAATAGTAGCCGACAGAAGAAGAAACCGCCAACGGTCCATTGACTCATGGGTGGACATGAAAGACCTTATGCGTCAAAGGTATATCCCTCCTCATATCCATAGAGACTTACAACGCAAGTTTCGTTCTTTTAACCAGGGAACTAGGTCAGTGGAAGAATATTATGAGGAGTTTGAACGCTTGAGGAACCGTTTGGAGCTGCATGACGATGAGGAAGCATTGATGGCTCAGTTTCTAGATGGTTTACAAGAAAGGATCAGCCGTAAGGTGGAAAGACAAGTATACCGGGACATCAAAGATCTTTTTCATCTCTCTATCCAAGCCGAGCAGCATATCAAACGTAAGACCAGCAGCACCAGAATCAAACCTCAAAATCCTTGGAATCCCACTATTAACAAACCGATGGATAAGGGCAAGGGCATTGAGATAGATTCACGTTACAAAGGGAAAGTTCTAGACAATGCCAAAGACAACCGAACAGAGCCAAGTAAGTCTTTAAATCCTCAACGTTCTAGAGACATAACGTGTTTTAAGTGCAGAG